CAGCAGAATGTACTGTTCACTGTTTGCACTCTAGTTAACCCATTAACTATTGATTGTAATACGACAAGAGATTCAATTTTACAAATATGTTTTTGTTCCAGTTTGTAGGTTTCGTTCAAGCAAATAACTTAAACAAAGTTTAAACAGACGCGTATTCACTGTGCACAGGTTCAGCATGGTATTATCTTAAAATTCCTGGGGTCATGTTACGTCGACTCTCTATAAGCCGGACACCTCTCTGAGACGAACAGCTGAGGCCGGTCCCGATAGTGTGTGTCTTAGAGAGAGTTGACTGTATTCATCCAAGGTAGAAGCTTTTTCCGCCTTACTCTTTTCTCGACAATGGGTGCGTGCTGGTTGATTACACTATTGAAAATCAGACCATATTACGAGAAATGTTTTTCGGCGCTTACCACTCTTCGCGGGAACGTATCCGGCAAAGAGTGGCAAGACTTTGATTTCACCTCTAAAAAATGCTATCAGGCCCTGCTAAAAGATAATTCTGCTTCCCCGATTCTTCACCATTTTTGGTCCCTCGTTCTCCCTTTTGATTTCAAACTTGACAATCTTTGGAAATTGGTTCGAGATGACTCTTCTAAAATCTATAAGAATGATGTGTTATGGTAAATTGTCCTTCGAGCCGTTAAAGTGCGCGATTTCCTAAACATTGGGGCTATATATATTGATTCTGATAAATGTGCCTACTGCTCTCGAAAAGAAACAATTGATAACTGTTTTCTTAATTGTTCCCGTGCTAAAAAAGTGTGGTCTTATTTTTCTCCTGTGATGTCCTCCCTTCTTGGTAATTTCTTCTCGTCTTACATTTCTGTTTTCTTTTTTCAGTGGGCTCCAGTCAGCCCAAAAAAATGCACGACTGGCCCGTTTTTTTTTATCAAAACGATCTTGTATGGCATTGGGAAGTTTTTCAATAACGATGCTACTTTTCGCAATGGAAATGAAAGTCATGAAGGTATAATCCGTTATATCCTCAATGATATTGAGAGGACAATTCTCTGTGACCACTTTCATTTGATCTCTATTTATCTGACTTTAATAATTGATAGGAAGATCCAGCACTGTGTCGATTGAATAACACTACTATCAAAATTTTCCAGTAAATGGTTGATTTAGTAACTAATTTAATAAATAGGTTAAATTTTTCATAGTAGGTTAGTTTCTTTTAGGTTCTTTTCACTAAATTATCCTTAGTTATGTCTTTCCTTAGTTAAAGGTTACACCAATGTCGGCCTTATTAGAATTATCTTTAATTTTAACTTAAAACTATCTTAGGAGATACATTTAAGATAATTCTTGTAAGTTATCTATTAGCTTTACTGTTATATTAATATTAAATTAAGATTATCCTTAGTTATATCATTATTCTTAGCTATTTACTCTTTTTTTTGATTACTTTAAATTCAACTTAGAATTATCTTTACTTGTAGCGTAGAATTATCTTAGTTTAAATTACGACTCCCTTTAGATATGTATAAAATTTCTCTTCAGGACCTTCCTTTGGACTTTGAATACTTTATTTTGCTTACTAGTATTTAGTTAGGGCCAAGTCCATGTGCGGTCTGCACTTTTATTTTGTAATTAGTGACTTAATGAAAATAAATCCTTTTTCAAAACTTAAAAACTGTCTGCAGTTAAATATAGCTATTTGGCATTACAAAACTTGCTTTTAAGTTCAAATTGAGCACTCTACTAGGATAAGTAATGTCGTGCAATTGTGCGTAGCTCACTAGTTTCTAGTTTGAGCAGTCGTGTAGACTTGAATATTCGAATCACTCTTTACTTTACAAAGATCTGGTTTAACTGCACAAAAAAAGGAAACAGATGTAAAGAAAACGAAGCGAAACGAAAAACTACAGTGAAAACATACAAGATTTGTGGACTCGAGGAATAAGTGAATATACTAGTGAGAAAACAATCGAACATCCAAAACGAATTTTTGACCTCTGCAAGTACGAGCACATGGTTTATCCCAAAATATTTAACAATTTAAATGACGAAATTGTACCAGTCCCGCGCGGACTGAACACGAGAAACAAAGTAAACAATTGTAGAACGTTTTGTAACTTACATTCCGGCCCCTAAAATCGGACGCACTAAACAAAGATTTGAAAAGAAATTTGACGCAAACAAACGTTACATGTGAAGGTGTAGTCTGATCGTCCGGGTGAGTGTAGTCCTGAGAAGGACTGTTGTCGGTGGTAGTGACTGACGTTTCGACAACCTGTGCGGAAGTCATCATCAGAGTCAAGTGAATGACTGTTGTCAGTAGAATGTTCTTATTCCAGTTCGTGTGAAATGATCGGTTGGTTTTGCCGTGATGTTATTGGCTGTAAGACTCAAGTGACGTAAGTCGGTCGTGATTGGTCTGTTTCGATCTGTCGGTAAAGTTAGGTCGTTCTTTTTCGGTCGTTTGTGATGTTTATGTCGTGAATGAGTCGTTTGTATGGAGCGGGTAGTTGTTGACATCTGTTTAGGGGAGTCTGTTCTAAGTTAGTAAACCAGCTTTCCAGTGTCAGTCGTTGAAAATAGTCAGTGCTATAGGTTAGGCATTGCGCAGAGTCCCAGTCAATGTTGTGGTTAGTAAGTCGATGGTGTTCAGCAATGTGATTGCTGACATCACCTTTCCTCGTCGTCCGTCTGTGTTCAGTCAGTCTTGTTGTGAGGTTTCTGCCAGTCTCACCGATATAGTAGGCTTGGCAGTCGGAACAATTGATCTTATAAATCGTTTCCTGTCTGTTCCTCGGTTCGTCTTTGTCTTTAACGTTGGTTAGGAACTGACGTAGTGTGGTGATGGGTTTGTGGGCGACGAGGATATTGAAGGGTAGTAAGATGCGCGAGATGTTTTCAGACATGCCTTTTATGTACGGTATGGTTGCTGTATGATCAGACTACACCTTCACAAGTTACCCCCGGGTTCAAGCCATTAACTGCAAAACGTTATATCTGACAATTCTGCGGGAGAATATAAAGCTCGAATCATATCAGTTCAGTAATGTTTCATTTCATGCCTTCTGACATCTCCACCGACTCCAGGAGAACAATCTTATCAACAGGGCGATCATACAGCGATGTTCTGGTCTTCACAGTTACACTTCGCACGTACCCATCGGTGCTGTTCTTGCGTACAGTAATAATCCGACCAAGAGGCTATGAAGATCTTGGTACTCTATCATCAACCACAAGCACTATGTCATTAACGGCAAAGTTCGGTGATGGATAAGCCCATTTCTGCCTCTCCTGCAACTGCGGCAAGTACTCTTTAATCCATCTTCGCCAAAATACGTCGTCATATATTGTGCCTGGCGCAATCTTCCTCGAGAGTAGCCATCTTCTTTACTGAACACGCCAGGAGGAAGATTCGGGCCTGACCGTAACAGCAGTAAATGATTCGGGGTAAGAGCTTCAGACTCCGATAGGTCACCTGACGATTTCGTTATCGAACGCCCATTAATAACAGATTCTACCTCACACATCAGGGTGGTTAACCATTCATCATCCAGCGGCTGTTCCTTCACGAGAGCAAGGAGAGTCTTTCTGACAGTTCTAATACATCGCTCCCATATGCCACCAAAATGGGATCCTGATGGTGGATTAAACAGCCACTTGATATTCCTTTGCAAGAAGAACTCATGGATCCGACTCTCATTCCACTCAGAGATAGGTTCTCGGAGCTCCTTGTTTCCGCTAACAAAATTTGACCTGTTCTCGGACCTCATCACTTCCGGGATACCTCGCCTTGCATTGAAGCGGCGCAATGAGTTTACAAACGAATCTGTGTCCATACTCTGAGCGACTTTCAAGTGAATGGCTCTGGTACCCAAACACGTAAACAAGACACCATAACGCTTGACTTGACTTCTGGCCCTCTTTACCCAAAACGGACCAAAAGAATCAACGCCTACAAAACTGAACGGGGGTTTATCAGGTGTGACTCTGTCAGCAGGAAGATCAGCCATCTTCTGAGCTCCAGACGGAGCCTGTCTTCGTCTACAGCTAAAACAATGATTTACAACTCTTCTCATGGCGACTCTTCCTTTGATAATCCAGTAACTCTTTCTGATCAAAGAGAGCACATATTATTGACCAGAATGTCCAGAAAGCAAATGGTAATGGCTGACGATCAGATCTACAACATGATGATTCTTTGGGAGTATTATAGGGTGTCTTCGCTCTTGTTCAATTTGTGCGTGCCTCAATCTTCCCCCAAGGCACAGCAGGCCATTGCCCAACTCCGGATCCAACTTGGCAATTGAGCTTGATTTCTTGACAGAACGTGCGCAGCTGGCTTGGACTGATTTCTTGGGCACAACATCTGATTGTTTATTCTGAAGATACACCAACTCTCCGCTAAAGCTTTGCCTTTGTACATACTTCAAGACTTCTATCTCAGCATAGTGCATTTCTTCTACACTGATGGGACTGGGTTTCCCAGAGATGAGTACTTTAGCTCTGGCTTCCTTCCTTCCGCGACACTCTCGCAGAAGATTAGAACGGTAGCGTAGTATCCACGCCATCAACTTCTTGAGCCTATACCAGGAGGAACAGGACTGCACCATTCTGTTTAAGAAGTCGACTTCAACTGTAGACGCTACTGAGAAGGTTTTCCTTTCTTTCTTTACTTCGGGATCATCTCCCTTTATTTCCACGGGAACGTCGGGTTGCTTAGGCCAGCTACAGTCCTCTGCTTCCAAGAGAAAGGAAGGGCCACTGGTCCAGCGGTTTTTGTGGATAAGCTCTTCAGTGGAAAGTCCTCTAGATGCATCGTCAGCAGGGTTAGAACCTGTACCAACATAGTACCACTGGTCTGCTCGCGATCTTTCATGGATTGTTGTCATTCTGTTCGCAAGGAACGTCTGGAACCTCTTTTCCTTGTTCACGATACAGCTCAACACACATGTGCTGTCGGTCCAAAAGAACCTTTCATCCACTGCCAGAGACTTACTTAAAAATGGCCGCCGTTACCGTCTGGCGCGTGCGAAGTTTAGATCAGAGGGCCTTTACGCTTTTGGGGAGGCGAAGATGGATATATCTACCGCAATTTTTTTTAGAAGACGTTGTTTTCGTGCAGATGTGAGGTCTACAGCTGAGGTGAGTGGTAGTTTTGGGTTTCATTCGGCAAGTTAGCTCTAATTTGCCGTAGCTTCCATAATGCTCTGAGGCGTAAATCCAAATAACGAACGTTTCATTCAAGGAAAGCGCATTTTTTCGTTAACTGAATTAAGAATTAGAAATTTTTTGGTATGTTTCGGAAATTTTCCATTCTCGTCACTGTAGGATGAGGTGGAAATTGATAAACCGCGGAGTGAAAAGTTACCCGTAGCGTAAATTTTGTTGTTTACCAAATTAAATTAAATGCCGCGGCTCAATCCCAAGTTAGAAATTTAACGGTGAGTTACAGTACAACACTTTTGTGGGTAAATGTATTTATATGAGCTTCAACAAAGAGAGTTTATTACTCAATCTACAAGGCATGTAAATGAGAGAGAGCAAAAAGCTATGCGTCAACAGTGGTGTTCTTATACATGTGCAGCGAAATTTAAAGTATACTTATCTATATGTTTTAGATTGAATCCACCTCAAGAGAGGTGACAAACTAAATTGGGATGTCGTCTTTAACCTTAGTTAACAATGACTGAATTGCCAGCCTGTGACGACTAACACAAACATTCTCAATCATACAAGAACATAATAAATGGGAATCTTTCTATTACCTTTTCTTAACTATCATTTTTACTTACATTCTTGTACAACTTCCACATTCATCAGGGCATGTTGAGGAACTTGTGAAATTAAAGGCATCTACGTTATGGCAGTATTTTAAGTCAAGTAATGTAAACTGTTGCAAGAGACTTCTTTTCTGATGTCATGTTCACAGTGTATTTTTTTTTCAATCCATAGGGACAAGATAGCTCAACAGTACAGCTATCTTGCAGTCAAACATAATCTTTGACTTGCTTATGATGAAGGTGAGCAAGTAGTAATTAAGTGTTAATTACCAGTAACAAATTTGCTCTTAAATCCGAAGCTTTTGGTGGAAAAAATGATGGACAACTATCACTTTCAAGCAACTTATTACCTTTTTAAATTGACCTGACTAAGTCATTTAAGGGAATAAAATTAGGTAAGAATGCTTGATCAAAATACTTTATAAATGTACTGTAATCATCTTCCAGGATTGTAGCAATTTCAGAGCAACTTTTTTCTTGTGAAGAGTACTTGTTACCTCATCTGAAAACCGATAGTAATTAGCATTGGGAAGCCAGTTATTCTGCATTAAGAAGAGTGCATCCCATACTTTTATATCAGACTGTAGCTGCTTAGTGGCCTTCAGAACAAGAACTTGTATTTTTGCCAGGTGGTTTTCATACCTTTTGGCGCAATATCTGGATTTGGGGTTGCGGTTTAGGTTGTGTAATTTTTCAGGCTGTATGACTTCAGGTGTTCCGCTTCGGGGCATTTTTTACCCTCCTTTTGGCCTCATCAATTGTTTCAAAACATTCTACCATTCTTTGCCTTTTCCTGGCTGCGAAATATGTTCATTGAGCTAGGTGAAGGTTGACATAATTTTTTTTTTTCAGGAATTTTCTATATTTTGTTTTAACTTTTTCTTTTCTTTACGGATTTTTTTTTTTTTGCCTGAACAGGTGAAACTTTCTTTGTCAACCCAGCCTCGGAAACCATGGACATTACTTCTCTAAAGGACTTTCCCAGTCACTCTTTACATAGAGAGTTGAATTCCTTATATATCACTGACCCTATGTTTTTGACTTCTTTTTGTGTTGGTTTGAAGATTTTTTTTCCTGAAAGCTCTTTGGCTCGACTTTTTACTTCTGTGAATGCCTCCCTCCTGCTTGCCTCCCTCCTGCTTGCCACACAACCGAAGAGGCAACTCTCCACTGGTGTTGTTAAGAGACAGCATTTGCATTCTACTTGGTGCAGAGATTTTTTACCTTGGGCAGTTTTCTGCCAGCTTTCCACAGAATATGCATTTAGATACTGTTGCTTTTTTTTTTTTTTTATGGCGGTGACCACTTTGAAATTTGGCTATCAATGGCCTGATATTTTTTGAGAAAAAGACCTATTAATGAAATATACTTTTTTGCAATTGTGCTTTTTTTTTCTACCTGTAAGTATTTAGTGACCTTCAAAAGATTTATGGAAAGAAATACTTTTGCTCACATGTGAAAGGGGATATTCTTTGAAATGTTCCATGTAGAGCCAATATCTTTCTTCCAATTGCCAGCTTTTGTCTGCCTTTTCTGATTCATTGTCATTTCTTGAATTTTTTTTTCGGGCAAGGGACTTAGTATCCCATAAATAAACACGAGTGAATCAAACCCCAGTCAATCCCCATGTCAATTTACATTTTGTTTCTATTTCCTTTTTCACTTAATAATATATTACCTTTTTTTGTTATTTTGTACGACATGAAATTGGACAGACGCCTCCAACTGAGCCAGCAGGAAATCAGTGCAAAGTGCACATGGAAGTTATCTCTCCATCAAGATGGGGTGGGAAGGGGGAATTTGAATTTTGAATAACCTTGTTTTTCACCCTTTTTTGCTGCCAGGCCAGTTGAAAGCCCTGTTCATTTCTTACCAACAGATTTTTCATAAGACCTAAGGGTGGGGTTATAATTTTTAAACATATGGAGCACTAATACTAGCAGTTATTTCTCCCTTCCACCTCCCACCTCCTGTGGCTTAATTTTGATACATGTTGTGGGTTGATTTCGCTGTCGTGTAAAGAGAACCATGAAAGCTGTTGTATATTTGACTTCATGGGCAACAACAACCCATGCAGTGAGTCCCACAGTACATCTCTTAATTTATTTTAGCATCTTTTATTTCCTTGCGGTCACGGACGTGGAAATTTCGAAAAAAGCAACAAACAGTTTGAAGTAATACTATTACAGTATTTCAGTATCCTTACAATTACAGGAGATGAAAACATACAAAACTAGAACAGTAAATGATAATTCATTCGCTTTTTGGCCTGCGAAGCCATCAGCTTTGCTTTCCCATCGGAGATTTTTCCGGTGATCTACCTTCAGACGACTATAACCACCATATTTGATTTGCGCCTTTTTGGTCAGCGGTAAAACGTGGTATTAAAGTCTCCTTCATGTATTATGTTCGAAAAGAAGCAAAATGGCTGCTTTCGTAGTTAAAAAAGGGGTAGTCAGAATGCTATCGCCGGTGCCGAAGTTTCCATATCAAGCAGTTATTTTTAGTGAAATGGAAGAAGGTGTTGATAAACTTTATCTTCACGTTTGGAATGAAGTGCCGAGTCGAGTTGATAACAATTTAAATACCATTAAGTTGAGAAAAGTTCCTTCTCAGCTCCTAAAAATCTCTAATCTCTTTTTTAAAGAACGAAGGGAATTCATTCCAAACTTAGATGGCTAGCATTTTTTAATGAGTATTTTTCTCATTCATTGATCAGTAACGATTGTGTGTAAATCTTACCAATTCCGATAAAAACCGATTGCGCAGCGTTATGATCACGTGACCCGACACGTGACCGTCGCCGTCGACATCGTTGCCATAAGGTAAAAGTTGGTATGAAAATCTATCGTCCCTGAAAATTTCAGCGAAATGGGCTGTATATTTATGGAGATATGGCTGTTTATTTTGTCAAGGCAATTTAATCTCCTGACCCAGGCCTTAAACTACTTGAGCTGTTCAATCTTGTGGCAACCACAGCGGCTGACAGCTCCAGGCGAGGAATAGTAACTGCCTTCTGGGGCGTTTGTCGTGACTTTCCCATCAAAAAGGCACAATGAACATTTTTAGCTTCATTGACGACTCGAAGGTACGAAACAGCACCATATCCTTCACTTGATGCATCTGCAAAAATTGTGAAGTTGGCTAGACACTATGCGGCCAATGTTCTTGGGTTTTAAATAACGTTCAAGGGCGAACAGTTCAAGTTAAGGAAGTTCCCTCAGCCAGTCTTGCCAACGCACTAAATCTTCATGTGGAATTCTGTCATCCCAGTCTAATCCTTTCCGGCACAGATCACGCAGAATTGCTTTCGCAGACAGAATCAACGGGACAATGAATCACAGAGGGTCATAAATTGAACTTATGGCAGCGAGAATACCCCTCTTCGTTGGGGGTCGGTCCTTCACGACAATTTTGAAACAGAATGTATCTCACTGGACATCCCACTGAATGCCGAGGGCAAGCCCTACAGGCAAGTTCTCGAGATCGGGCTCTTTGACGGATCCGGCTCTCTCAGACATGAAGACTGACTGAATGACATCATAGGCATTTGAAATCCATTTTGTTAAACGAAAAACTCCTCTAGCTAGCAACGGACGTAGTTGATTGACCAATCGACTTGCTTGTTGGTTATCTTCCACAGACTTCCAGCAATCGTCAACATAGAAATTTCTTTTTACTGTTTGAATGATGTCTTTGTCAAAATGTTCTGCAATGTCATCGGCAGTTTTCTGCAGTGCATACTTGGCACAACTGGGGGACGAAACACCTCCGAAAAGGTGAACTAGCATTTGAAATTCTTCTGGTTCTTTATCCGTGTCACCACCACCCGGTCACCAAAGGAAGCGCAGATACTTGCTATCCTCGGTTGGTACTTGTACTTGACAAAAAATGTTCTCGACGTCAGCCATAATGGCTATCGGCTGTTCTGTAAATCTTTTCAGAACTCCAGTGAGTGAGTAGGTTAAATCGGGTCCTTGCAATATCTGTTGATTGAGCGAGACATTCTGGAACTTTGCCGCACGGTCGAAGACCACCCTGACCTTGTCGGATTTTTGCGGATGAGTGACAGGATGATTAGGCAAGTACCATGCGAGCGAACCATCACGCTGATCTTCAGGAACCTTTCGTGCATGACCTTTGTTAAACATGTCATCCATAAATACAGAATACTTCCGGTGTAGTTCGGATCCTTCACCAGTCTCTTCTTCAGCAACCCAAGGCGACGTTCAGCGACCAACTTGTTGTTAGGTAGATCAGGAGGGAAGACCTTCCAAGGAAGTGCAATTTCATAATGACCATCGCGAACCTCGGCAGACTCTTCCATCATGGCAAGGGCTCTCTTATCATCTTGCGACAATCCTTTCTCGATGCTGAACTAGGAATCGTTAAATTCCATTTTACAGAAACGCGCGAACTGCTGGTCCACGAGAACATGCGACTAAGTACGGTTTGTTGTAAGGCTTGACTAACTCAGCCTACCAAGTGGGCCATTGATGGTCCATCCTAGCAGTGTTCGCACAGCATATGGGCCACCATCTTCACTTCTCTGCACTTCTTGAGGCTCAAGGGCTTTGCGCTCATCGCTGCCTATGAGCAATTCGACTTCGGCATCAATACAAGGTAAATCAATATATTTTAGGTATAACCACCTTTCCACATTACTTTGAACTGCAGTGTCATCAAGTCTGACTGGGAGCTTAACTCGCGAGAGAACATCCGACAGCTCAAAAGCATTACATCCCCTCAGATCAGAAACCTCAAAATTGACCACCAGACTCTCACTATTAACATTATCACTATCCATGGTAGTTAGAGACATTTCTACCTGATGTGCCCAGACGTTCTATCAACTTGTTAGTGCAAAACGTAGTATTCGATCCTGGATATAGAAACGCGTAGGTTTGAACCATCTTCTCCTTTGCCTTAGTTCTGACATTAACTGGAACTATAGCAAGTCCTGTAGCCGACGCTCCGGCCCCAGTGGCACTACACGTTCCTTCGCATGCAACTACTTCGGTGAAACAGCTTCGTGCTCGATCATTTTGCTTCTCATTATCTATGTTGCTCGACTGAGTCTCAGATGGAGATGCAGGTTCTGTTTTGGCTGGTTTGTCATTCTTCTGATGTAAGAACGTAGAATGTTTTCGATGACCTATCTTACATCCGACTATCTGGCAGTAGCTCTGCTTGGGGCAAGACATTGCCATATGTCCTGCCACGAGACAATTATCACACAGTCCGCTACTACGCACAAAACTAATTCGCTCGTCGACTGACTTTCCTCTGAACAGCTGGCACCGTGACAGCCGATGACTCTCTTTACACAGTGGGCACTTAACATTCGACTTCTTCGGCACATTTTCGGTGTCGTCCTTAGGGGGGTCAGTGGGACTTTCTGGGGTAGTTCCATGTGTCGTGAAAGCAGAACTTTTGTGCTCCTTTGATGGTGTTCTGTGTCTTCGTTTGGAGCCAGCGCCTGCAGCAGTGTTCTTGTCTTCATTTGAATAGATGTTCCCGAACACTGGGTGATTGGCGATTCTAGCCTTAGCTTCGACAAATTCTGCAATATCTCCAATAGTAACTTCCCTTTTCAAATCCGCTGTGATGTGGTCAGCCTTTTCACGCCATCTCTGTCTGAGCCCAAATGGCAGCCTTCCAATGATCTTTTGGAGAGTGTCAGGGTTTTCGATTTTGCTCAAATATCCAATTTCTTGGAGCGAGTTCTTAAAACTTGTAAGTAGAACAGAGTACCTTTGCAAAGCAGGACCATCATCTGCCTTAATCTGAGGAGATTTTTTTACTTGATCAATGAGAGCAGTTGCTATTTTGTAGCTTTCACCATATCTATCCTTGAGGAGTGCTCTTGAAGTCTTGTAGCCTTTTGCGGGATACATTGACAAACAGCTTTGCATTAACTCCTTCACTTCCCCTGACGTATATTGGACTAGATAGTACAAACGAGAGTTCGGGCTGCTTGTCTTTGACTCTATTAAATTCT